CCCTCTATTCTCACTTTCACCATCTCCCTATATCAGTTTTCCTGTTTTTAACTTTTTATATACATGGAACTCACTGTAAGAGTCAGAACTCTTTCATCTCTGGATCCCTTCATTATATATCTGCGGGAGTCTGGGCATATGCCACTGCACTCCATTCTGGGCGCCAGATCGAGATTGGATATCAAAAAAAAAAAAAAAAAAAATAATAGAATGGAAGAACAAAACCAGGATATTTTAAATTAAAAAAAAATTTTTTTTGAGTTGAAATCTTACTCTGTGGCACAGGCTGGAGTGCAGTGGCACACTCACAGCCACCGCAGCATCATCCTGCTGAGCTCAAGTGATCCTTGCACCTCAGTCTTTCAAGTAGCCAGAACTGCAGGCATGTGCCACCACACCCAGCTAACTTTTTGATTTATTGTAGAGACAAAGTCTCATCAAGTTGCCTAGGCTGGTCTCGAACTCCTGGGCTCTTGCCTCCACCTCCCAAAGTGCTAGGATTACAGTTGTGAGCCACCATGCCTAGCAAATATGTTTTTTCCTATGGAGTATAATACAAAACTAGTTACATGGAAGGCAACCAAGGGACTTACCATGGAAAGAATTGTTATGAGAAATTGCCCTTAGTTTGCGTAATATTAACCAATGAGTAGGAATCAGCAGGAATGTTCTATTGCAGGGCTCACTTTCATTCAATGATGTGGCTGTGGGTTTCACCTGGGAGGAGTGGCAGCTACTAGACCCTATTCAGAAGAACCTGTACCAAGATGTGATGATGGAAAATTTCAGCAACCTGGTATCAGTAGGTAAGCACAGCTTCTCTGGGTAATGTAGGTGACCGATTGCCTTAGCTTTTTTCAGTGCTAAAAGGGGTGGGACCTCGCAAATTCTTTACTATTTGTACTTGAGTTTATGCATCATAGATTTTTAGTATCTTTCTGGTTTCTAAAAGAGTGTTTTTCTCTCACCTCTAAAGTGAAAGGCCTATTTAGCCAAGATGCAAATTATTCTCCCCTTAAATGTAATATTTGCCATTTTTCAGTGGTCTTGAAACTTAAGAATTTGGGTACAAGGGTCTCTATATTTTTGCTTGAATAGGGTATCAAGTTACAAAAGCAGATGCATTTTTCCAGTTGAAGCAAGGAAAACCATGGATAATAGAGGAAGAAATCCAGAGTCAGTTCCATCTAGGTAAGTGAAAAAACAGCACTAGCCAAGTGAACCAGCTCACACCTATAATCCCAGCACTTTGAGAGGCTGAGGCAAGAGGATTGCTTGAGCCTGGGAGTTCAAGACCAACCTGGGCAACATAGCAAGACTTCATCTCTACAAAAATAAAAAAAATTAGCCGGACATGGCGGCATGTGCCTGTAGTCCCAGTTACTTGGGAGACTGAGGTAAAAGGATTGCCTGAACCTAGGAAGTTGAGGCTGCAGTGAGCCATGATTGTGCCACTGCACTCTAGCCAGAGTAACAAAGTGAGACTCTGACTCAAATATAAATAAATAAATAAACAAAATAATCAATAACTAAAATACAGTAGGATGAGAGAAATGGAAGTAATGTCTTTTTTTTATTTTTAAGAAAGCAGGATTTATTGAGAGGACAGAAAAGCTCTCACAGTGGGAGGGGACCTGAAGAGGTTGCCCAGAAGTAATATCTTAGTTGATCAGAAATCGGAGCCACCTCCAAAATGTCATTTGGAGAAATTTTTTTAAAAGTCTTAAGCTCCCATTTAAAAATGAAGTTCTGATTGAAGAACAGTTGACATAAGCTTTCCACATACATTAATATTGCCTCCACTTTTTGATCTCTCCATGTTAGAACTCCTTTGCTTGGCTTTTGAAAGATGACACATTCTTCTTTTATGCACTTTGATCAAATTCCTCTCTGGCTTTCCTTGGAACTTTCTTTCCTGGTTAGTCTTCCTTCCTGGTATCTTCAGTTTACTAGCTTTTCCTTACCTCCATCCTTCTAGTCCATGGTTCTGCCTCCCTTTTCTTATACTCTCACATATGCATAAATTTTCCTCCCTTGTCCTTTTGTGTGTATCCCATACCTCTCATAGTTTCTTCTAACTTTTTTTCTTCTTCCTCTTATAAATGTCTCAGACTTTCATTCTCTAACTTCAGTCTTACTTCCTCTCCTCTTCTCAGCTTTTGCTATGAGATTCTGTCCCTTCGATTACATGATCACTGTGAATTCATTGGTCTCCTTTCTAGAAGATGTCTGGCAAGATAATAATCATACAGATGGACATCAAGAAAACCAAAGCAACCTTGAATCTATGAAGAATCACCACAGATATCATACATTTGGGAAAATAATGTCTCATCTGAGCTCAAACTTTCATGTCTCTTTAGCTCAAAGAGCTCATACATTCAAAACACTGAGGAAACATCTGAAACCTAATTTAGAGTACATTATTCAAAATAGAAGCAATGTAAGAAATGAAAATGAATTTACTGGTTATGACAATTTTTTTCTTTATACTGAGTGTGAGAAAATTCATACTGGAGAGCAATATAGAGCTAATGATGCATGTGAGAAGGCATTCAGCCACAATTCAAAACTCAATAAACATTGGAAAACTCAAACAGAAGAGAAAAACTATGACTGCAGTGAGTATGGGAAGGCCTTTTCCCAAAAGTCAGACCTCATGAAGCATCAAAGAACACACACAGGAGAGAAATCCTATGGACGCAGTAAATGTCAGAAAGCCTTCAGCCAGAAGTCCCAGCTCATTTTACACCAGAGAACCCATACAGGAGAGAAAGTTTATGAGTGCCAGAAATGTGGGAAAACTTTTACTGATAAGTCATGCCTTAATAAACATCAAAGAACTCACAGAACAGAAAAACGCTTTGAATGTCATATATGTCGGAAAGGATTCCGTGATAAGTCACAACTCACTTTACATCAAAGAGTTCATACAGGAGAGAAACCCTATAGTTGTGGCAAATGTCAGAAAAGCTTCAGCAGTAAGTCACAGCTTACTGTTCATCAGAGAGTTCACACAGGAGAGAAGCCCTATGGTTGCGATGAATGTGGGAAGACATTCCCCCTTAAGTTTAGCCTTATTTTACATCAAAAGACCCACACAGGGGAAAAACCTTATGGATGTAATGAATGTGGGAAAGCTTTCATCCAGAGATTTGAGCTCAGAAGACACCAGAGAACTCACACAGGCGAGAAGCCTTATCATTGCAGTGAATGTGGAAAGGGCTTTAGTGTAAAGTCACTCCTCAATACCCACTGGAGAACTCATACGGGAGAGAAACCCTATGAATGCAATGAATGTGGGAAAACATTCTCCATCAAGTTTAGTCTCATTTTACACCAAAGAACTCATACAGGAGAGAAACCCTATGAGTGTAGTCAGTGTCAGAAGGCTTTCACCCAGAAGTCACACCTGACTATTCATCAGAGGTCTCACACAGGAGAGAAACCTTATGAGTGCAGTGAATGCCACAAAGCTTTCAGCCGGAAGTCTTATCTCCTTACCCATCAAAGGATTCACTCAGGAGAGAAACCTTATGAATGCCTTGAATGTGAGAAAACTTTCTCTCACAAGTTTAGCCTCGATCATTCGTCAGGCAATCCACTCACCTCAGCCTCCCAAAGGCGCGGGATACAGGTTGAGCGAAAAATTCCCTCATCAGGTTTAGCATCAGAAAACATGACCAGGCTCAGTGTCTCAGCCTGTAATCTCAGCTTTTTGGGAGGCTGAAGTGAGTGGATTGCCTGAGCCCCCGGGTTCAAGACATGCCTGAGCAACTTGGCAAGACCTTGTCTCTACAATAAATCAAAAATTAGCCAGGTGTGGTAGCATGCACCTGTAGCTCTAGCTACTTGGAAGACTGAGGCAAAAGGATTGCGGAGCCCAGCAGGTCGAGACTGCGGTGGCTGGGAGCTTGCCACAGCACCGCAGTCTGGGCAACAGAGTGAAACTCCAGCTCAAAAACAAAATACATACAGGACGAATCCCCAAGAATGCAGTGAATGTCAGAAAACTTATGCCCAGAAGTCCCATCTTATTATACATCAAAGAATTCATACCGGTGAGTAAACTTATGGATGCAGTAAGTCTTGGAAAACTTTCTCCCACAAATTCAGCCTCATTCTACATCAGAAAACTCATAGAGGAAATAAATCATGAATGAAGTGAATATCTAAAAGTTGTCACTGACAGGAAATAACTCATTATATCACAGAGTTTACATAGGAGTGAAACCTCAAGACTGCAACACTTGTGAACACACTTTATTTTCAAACTTACACATCATTTTCAAACTTATACATCATTTTCCATCAGAGAGCAGTGCTGGGTATAATGCCAGTTAAGAGGCCATACCTTTTCCAATTAAATGTCAATTGAGTATACACCAGAGGGAACAAATAGGAGGGAACATCTACATGTGTATTGCTTGTGGGTATATATATTGTTGGCATAAAATTCAGCTAAATCAGTAGCAGAGAATTGTCATTGAGAAGGAAATTCTCTACATTAATAAATCTGGTGTATCATACTTTCATGGGCATCATTATATGGGGAAGTGATTTTTCTGCTGTTGTGATATAGAAAGTATTGAGTATGTAAATAAATGCACTTGTCAAAAATCAAATATTTTATCTAGACAATACAGTGTGTGTTTTGTACCTATTTTTATTGTGCAAATGATTGTTCAGGGCTGAGCCCAGTGGCTCACACCTGTAATTCCAGCACTTTGGAAGATCGAGTTAGGAGAATTGCTTGAGCCCAGGAGTTTGTGACCAGGCTAGGCAACATACTGAGACCTCATCTCTAAAAATATATAAAAAAATTGGCCGGGTGCAGTGACTCAAGCCTGTAATCCCAGCACTTTGGGAGGCCTAGGTGAGGGGATTACTTAAGCCCACGGGTTTGAGAACAGCCTGGGCAACTTGACGAGACATCATCTCTACTTGGAAGGCTGAGGCAGAAGTATCCACTGAATCCAGGAGGTAGATGCTGGGGTGGCTGTGAGCATACCACTGTATTCCAGCCTGGGTGATGGAGTGAGACTTCAACTCAAAAAATAAAAAATAAAATAAAGTAAAATAAAATTTTAAAAAAAATTAGCTGGGCATGGTGGCACATACCTATAGTTCCAGCTACTCAGGAAGCCTAAGCAGAAGGGTCACCAGACCCCAGGGGATCAAGGTTGCAGTGAACCGTGAGCATGCCACTGCACTCTAGAGTGGAAGACAAAGTGAAACTTTGACCAGAAAAAAAAAAGTTAATATTCGGAATTGCATGTGTTAGCATAACATTTACGAATATGAAGTATATATGTTAAGTGTACATAAAGCCTTTCCATAGAATATCTATATTGAATTTTTGTATCATTATAATGCTACATATAGTTAATTGATCTGCAGTGGCTCATTGTTCTAGTAAGAAATCTGAATGCAGTACTGCATATATATTTCCCCTTAGTGTGTGCTAGTATTTGTAAGTGGGTCTGGAAGGTTATGTGCCTTTTTTTTTTTTTTCTTTTCTTTTTTTTTGAGTCACCCAGGCTGCAGTGCAGTGGCATGTTCACTACCACAGCCTCAAACTGCTGGGCTCAGGCAATCTTTTCACTTCAGCCTTCCATGTAGCTGGGACTACAGATGTGAGCCACCACGTCTTGCAGATTTTTTGATTTATTGTAGAGAGAAGGTGTTGCCTTGTTGCTCAGGTTGATCTCTGACTACTGTGCTCAGGCAATTCTCTTGCCTCTACCTCCCAAAGTGCTGATATTACAGGAGTGAACCACTACTTCTGGCTGTGTGCCTCTTTTGAGTAAAACTTTATTTCACCTACTCTAAGATGGATATTTTCCCCACATATCATCAATGCTGAAATTAAGATGCAGCATAAAATTGCTGACTTGACATATTTAAATAGAGAACTTGGTACATAAAATAGTGGTGTGTCATACAACCAAAAGTATCTTAGATTGTATGAAATATAGACGTTATCAGCTTTGTTTCTTCTAAACCAACCAGATATGTGGGGGTTGAGGAAGATGACTATTCATGTTTCAGGCCCCTTCTGAATTATTATTGTTGAGTTGGAGTGTGACTCTGTCATCCAGGCTGGAGTGCAGTGGCACGCTCACTGCTATCACAGCCTCGGCCTCATAGGCTCAAGTGATCCTTCTGCCTCAACCTTCCAAGTAGCTGGAACTCTAGACATGCACCACCATGCCTGGCAAATTTTTTGATTTACTGTAGAGACAAGGTCTTGGCAAGTTGGTCTTGTACCCTCAGGCTCAAGCAATTCTCTCACCTCGGGCTCCCAAAGTGCTGGGATTATAGGCCTGAGCCACCACTCTCAGCCAGCCTTCTGAATTGTTAAGAGAGTCTCTGATAACAGATCAATGTAAATTATATATTATCTGTACTCCTGTTATTTTTTTCTTGATTGGATAATGTGGCTTGATCCTATGACCATATAAAATAGGCTTCTATTTCCTTTATGGTCACAAGGTTTGCAAGATGTTCTTTCTTTTGAAAAAGTATGCCATATAGATGTTTTCATTGATCCCTCTCAAGAATGTAGCAAGGAGCTCTTCTAAATTCTATCTATCTATCTATCTATCTATCTATCTATCTATCTATCTATCTATCTATCAATCTATCATTTATTTAGAGTCAGAGTCTCAGTATTTTGCCCAAGCTGGAGTGCAGTGGCACCATCACAATTTACCACATCCTAAACCTCTAGGCTCAGGCGATCCTTCTGCCTCATCCTCCTGTGCAGCTGGGACTACAGGCATGTGTCACCATGCCTGGCTAATTCTTTTTGTAATTCTGCAGAGACAGGGTCTTGCTATGTTGCCCAGGCTGGTCTCAAATTTCTGGACTCAAGCAGTTCTCCCACATCAACTTCCCAAAGTGCTGGGATTAGAGGTGTGAGCCACCATGCCCAGTTATCTTTTCTTAAATGGGGAATAAACTCTAAGATACAATGAGCCTGATTTTAATTTTATGAAAATATGTTTCTTTGTCCAGCACAATGTTGTACATTAAAATGAGTGACTGCAATTATACCAGTTGTGCAGGATAAGATGTTGAAAGGGTTTATGTGACTTTGCAAAGTTATATTTACGTAAGACTTTAAGAAAGAAAAAGGCTACAGTCTTCTAAGAGGAAAAAGATGAAAAAACATACAGGTAATGCAGGCACAGATTTCAGAGATCTTTTTTCATTAACACTGGACACTTTGTCTCTAGATCACAAACTACCAAATATATGTAAGATATCTCACTTTCAGGGAAGCCAACACACAAGGTTACTGAGAGATTATGTGTGTGTGTGTGTGAGAGAGAGAGAGAGAGAGAGAGTCTCAGTCTCTCAGACTGGTTTGCAGTGACATGATTCCACCTCACTGTAGCTTTGACCTCCTGGATTCAAGTTATCCTCCTGAGTAACTGGGACTACAAATGCCACCGTGCCTGGATAATTTTTGCATTTTTTTTTTTTGTAGAGATGAGGTCTCACTATGTTGGCCACGCTGGTCTCAAACTGGATTCAAATGCTGAAGCCAGATTAAATCCAACTCTTGGGGGCTCTTTTACTATTTCTCCCTTGCAAAAATCCTGATATATATACACAGTGCCTATAATCCCAGTACTTTGGGAGGCTGAGGTGAGACGATTGCTTGAGACCTGACTAGGCAACATAGCAAGACTCATCTCTACAAAAAAATTTTAAAAAGCTGAGCATGGTGGCATGTACCTGTAGTCCCAATTACTTGTGAAGTTGATGTGGAAGGATTGCCTGAACCCAGGAGTTCGAGCTTGCGGTGAGCTGTGATGATGCCACTGCACTCCAGCCTGGATGACAGAGAAACCAACTCAAAAATAAAAATAATAGTAATCTCAATCTTGTAATTTGGTGTTTTTTTTTTATTTTTGAGCAGGAGTCCCACTCTTTTGCCCAGGCTGGAGAGCAGTGACACTCTCATGGCCACTGCAGCCTCAACCTGCTGGGCTCACATGATTCTTCCACCTTGGCCTTCCAAGTAGCTATAACCACAGGTGCACGTCACCATGACCAGCTAATTTTTGAATTTATTGTAGAGATGAGGTCGCACCAAGTTGCCCAGGCTGGTTTCAAACACCTGGACTCTGGTGATCCTCTTGCCTCCACCTCCCAAATTGCTGAGATTACTGGCATAAGCCACCGTGCCTGGAGGTGTTTTTATTTTTTGATAGAGATGAGGGTCCCACTATGGTGCCTAGGCTGGTCTCGGACTCTTGGGCTCAAGTAATACTCCTGCCTTGACCTTCCAAAGTGCTGGGATTACAGGCATTAGCACGGCTCCTAGCCATAATTTTTTTTCTTCATTTCCATGCTCAGGTCTCATAAAAAAACGGGTTGTGTCTCTTTGAATTTTGAGACTTTATATAGACCTGGTGGTGATATCTGTTGAACCCAGGACTCTAATGAGAGAGATATAGAGACCACAAAGAGCCAGCTCTGATGCAAACACACGAGGGTCTTTATTCAGGCTCGAGTCTGGGCTCCCGCCCGAAGCAGC